TTTAATCCGAAGAGATCGGTCGGGTACTATTGCTCAACGCCTCGACGAGTTCAAGAGACAATGCTTTGTCGAGTACTACGACTTGTCCGTGGACGCCCAACACAAGGTCGATAGTCGACCGCGCCGCACGGATATCACACACGATGATGAGGCGAGGAGAAAAAAGAAGGATAACTTAGGCCGGAGCCCACTGCGAGCACGCTGACTATGCCACGGCAGGGGCTGGGCACTCTCCTACTTACTGGAGGTTTGGTTCTGGGTGTTGCCGCCACGGCCGCGGCCGTGCTGCCGACGAGCGTCGTGGCCTTTCCCGCCGGTTTTGTGGGCGAAGATGCAATCGTCTCCATAAGGGCACCACCCTGTACGCTCGAACCGACGGCATGTTACCGACGAGGGATTGGAGGTAGAGTTAGCACGCTGCCCGTGGCCAGAGGATGGAGTAGATCTCAACGATTCCCTGTGACGGGTGACGATGTCGGAGTTGCCGGTGACCAGCTGAGGGTCCATCTCCGTCGGGTGGGCGATGGCTTCGAGTCTCATCTCTGCGTCCAAGCGCCTTAGGGTGTGGATGTCCGACTGCAGGCAGTTGCCGCACAACCTCATTAGATAGAGGAGTGCTTCCGCAGGATTGAGCTTCTGCAGCACGCAGTGGCCGATCAACCACCTCGATATGTTCAGCAGCAAATCCGCGGCTCCGAACGACGAGCGGGGTAGGCCTGGGACGTCTTCCACAACCTCAATTTCACCAGTGTCGGCGTTGTGTTTCATGCGCCTTTTTATCTTGGCGCTCACTGGGGCGAAACCGCATTCGTCCTCGCGCACCGGTGCTCGCCTTTACGGATCCTGGCGAAGATCTTAGCCGAGAGTAGATATCTTGAAGGGATATGTACGTTGTACGCCTTCCCGAACTTCTGCCGCATCAGCTCGACAGCAGGCTCGGGTTGAGCCTCCGAGCCCTTCGCTTTCGTACCGATGAGGCCGCTCAAGGCCCTTAGAGCGTAAATGTTGACCGGGTTGCGGAGACTGCTAGCAAGTTCGGCGCAATCGCCCATATTCTTATAGAGTTCCGGGGCCACTATGCCGTTACGCACCAGGACGGTGAGACGTCGTATTGGGCGGTGGGCATGAGCTTCTCGCGGATGAAGCTCACGACTTCAGGCGGGAGTATAAGCTCGGAGCCGGGGTACAGAGTCTGTACTACAGACCAGACTGTTCCGGAACTTCAGCGCCTTCTGCTGCCGCTTCGCCAACGTCGATGGTAACGGGCTTCCCGGAAGTGACTCCGCAGCTGGCGCCACTTTGCAGAGGCCCAGGATAGGGGGCGGCAGTGGTGCCCGGGTCCCCGCTGGCCGTATTGAGACCGAGAGTCGTGCCGACCTGACCAGCACCGCCGGGAGCTGGCCCGCTGCCCGAGGCCATCATGTGGGGCTGCATGATCAAGCCCTGACTGTCGACGCGGATGCTTCTGCCGAGAGGGCCTTGGCCGTCGACGGGTGTGCCGTCCGAATTGGAGCTGCTCGCAGGAGAGGACATTGCAGCAAGCAAAGTCTGAGACCCAGCTGGACGTCGCGATTAAGCAATATCGCAATGGGCGAGCCGAGCTCGCCACCCCGGTAGCCGCGCAACCCAAAGACCCAGTCGGCGCGGCAGCTGCCGCTTGAGCTAGGCCGGGTGCAACGCAGCGGCATCATGGGTCCGAAAGAACGGAGGGAACCTCAAACCGTTGGAAGCCTATCAGAAGGGTTCCTCGGGCCGTCGAGACCATCGAACTGAACGGACCGCTCTAGGTTGAAGGCGGTGGCACACGCCGCCTGCCCTAGAGTCGACTCGCCTCGTATACTCGAGGCATGAAATAAGTTATGCACGGCATGCACCGGCTGCCTTCGTAATGTCGTGCTGATGTTCGTACGTACGTACGAACCGTTTCGCTACGCACGCTGAACAAGGACAGTGGACGCACCACGGATGATAGGCACGCGTGCTGCCAGTGCGCCCGGTGTGACGCGCCCTTCGTATCGGTATTTAACCTGTGTTAACTTGTTAACTCGTATTAATCCGTAGTGAAGATGAAGTGTAGTACGTGTTTTTCACTGGTTTTTTTTACCCTAGTCGGTGCATATCGCGATTTACTCCATGTGAATTTCGCGTTTTTTTCACGCGAAATTCACATCGGGAAATTCATTTCATATGCCTTTTTCACGTCTCCAAATCGCTAAATTCTCGATAAAACATTTCGCGAAATTCACAATCTCCCTTGTGAAATAAATGGTGTAAAACACTGATTACTCGGAGTTTTTCGCGTTAATCGCGAAATGCCGGGAGTGTTTTACGTGAAATGTGATGATTTGTCTGGTGTAATTCGCGAAGTGTTTTCATTTCGCTTCACATCGCGAATATCACGTTTTTCACGTGGAGTATTACGCCACTTCGCATAAAACGGGTGAAACTCCATTAAAATACGTTTAAAGTACTCCAAGTTACTTTTGAAGTATATCTATAACTTCGCATCTAATCTAATGCTATACATTGAAAGAAAGAGGATCTTCCACAATGGTATTCCTCTATGTGCCACAGAGATAACTCCTCTCCTGTGGCACAGAGTCTACGTGAAACCTACATCACGTGGACCACATGTGTGCGAGCACGCGTTCTGGTTTACTCGGTCGAGTTCGTTGTTCTTGATTCAAGAAAATCGCAGTCTCTAATGTTTATAATGTGCATTTTGGCTCTCGGTAGAATGTCTTTCATGGGCCCCCCCCTGGTGACCAGGGCCTGGGCTGGTCTCCGACATTTTGGGCCTCGATCAACACTTTCGATTGACAGAATGTGTTAATCGAGATTGCGCTGCGACGAGACTTGTGTCTAAAATTCTGACTGTAGACTATCTAATGGATTCCGTGACGGAATTTCCGTCCTCACATTCACAATAAGTGAACTAGCAAGTCCTAACGTTGTTAGTTGATAACTCAAAATATGAAGATCCGTTACATCCCTGTTGGTGTCGTCCTTCTCATCATGATGGTGGTCGGGTATTCCGATCAATACTCTCAACTAGATGCTATGCTCAACAATGACTCACTAGACCCATCGGATGGCGTAGTCTATCGTTGGTATAAATCTGGAGATACGCTGATGGGTGTCGACCTTTCCAATTGTCTGGCTCCTGGGATCTATTGTTACGTAGCCGTCGATAACACTGGACAGAAAGAAGCAAGAATATGTTATTGTACCGCTCAGTATTTTGCTCCCAGGTGACTATCGGCGTCGTCAAACACAAGATTCCATATCAGGGAATGCCGAATAATATAGAGAAACTCATCAGAAAGAAAATGTGGGCCATAGAAGATGTCTCAACAACATAGCAATTAGCTCATACGACATTCATAGTCGATTCACTGTGAATCTCGACGGGCAGTCTTAGTCTGAATTTCCTGGCATATTGATGCTCGGAGTACCGTCACATGACCCTGAACAAATATATCTGTCTCCGTTTTCTTAGGAAGAAGAAGAATGGGGTACTCGGCTATATTACATATGTAAGTGAAGTGATCCTAAATATTCCCACATCGAGACACATGACCTTATCATAATTCGAATCTTCTTTAGCCAGATGCTGTATTTCCCTTTCTCTATTGCCGTTCTCGACATATATTTTCCTTGATATCTTCGCTTGTGCCTGCAGGTTTACGTGCGTGAGAATCGGCGTGGACAAGGGATCGCCAAAACTCTTCTCGAAGAGAGTTTTCATTTGGTAGATTCACAGTATGAGGCTGTCCAAGCTCTTCGTATTAAAGGGCCATTCAACAGTCTTACTCTCAGATATCTGTAACCATACCCTCATTCGGTGCTATGTTTCTGGTAGTGAGATATAACAATGCAGCTGCCATCGCGCTATACAAGAAAGTCGGTTACGAACTGATCATCAGTAAGTTATGAGCGTCGAGGATGTTGGTCCGATACCCGCGCCAATTTTGATGATTTCTTTTGGTGACGGTAGGGCACTCGCATTTCACGGATCCCTGTTCTCCTGTTTAGATATAGCAAAAAACGGCTACAGTTACTACGCTCGTTATCCTTAGTGTTGACGGGTACTGCTACGATGCTCAATTGTTGTTCGCTTCTCTTTGGATTCTATTAGTAGTTCGTTCACCTGCAGTATGTTCGCAATACTCCTGCATTGTGACGTTCTTAACCGAAATGGTTGACAGCTCTCATAGACTCCCACAGTCAGAGAGTGTTTTTTCTTGCTCACCTGTAAGACACTCAGCAGACAGATTTCGGGAATTCTCGGAAAGTGAGCTTTTTGTTACCCGTACTACTCCTTTTAAAGGACTATTTCGCGTTTAGTAAGATCAATTTCGCCGGCTTGTCTGTATCAAGTAAGTCCAATTTCGACGAAATGCGGAAATCGACTTCGCTGATAGTATATTCAATTCCGCCGAAGTAACGGATCCGATGTCCGAGTGTTGCACGCTGCCCGTTCAGCCTATCATCATGCCAAATCCAGATCGCAACTCTGACGATGAGAGTTACCAATGGTAACTTGCCATGGAGACTTTCGTCGCTGGAGCCATGATAACTGTCACGAAAGTCAATATAACTAGTTGGCTGGCATCGATCTATGTTATATACTCAGCTTTAGCTGGCTGGCATCAATCTGTGTTATATACTCAGCTTTAGCTGGCTGGCATCAATCTGTGTTATATAGTCAGCTTTAGTTGGCTGGCATCAATCTGTGTTATATAGTCAGCTCTAGTTGGCTGGCATCAATCTGTGTTATATACTCAGCTTTAGATGGCTGGCATCAATCTGTGTTATATAGTCAGCTTTAGTTGGCTGGCATCAATCTGTGTTATATAGTCAGCTTTAGTTGGCTGGCATCAATCTGTGTTATATAGTCAGCTTTAGCTGGCTGGCATCAATCTGTGTTATATAGTCAGCTCTAGTTGGCTGGCATCAATCTGTGTTATATAGTCAGCTTTAGTTGGCTGGCATCAATCTGTGTTATATAGTCAGCTCTAGTTGGCTGGCATCAATCTGTGTTATATAGTCAGCTCTAGTTGGCTGGCACTGCTCTTCAGCTCTCGTAGACTCCCAGAGTCGGAGAGTGTTTTTTCTTGCTCACCTCTAAGACACTAAGCGTAGATATCAAGACAGATTTCGGAAATTCTCGGGAAGTGAGCTTTCGTTAACCCGTACTAGTGAATCGCACTCGGGCGACATCTGATTGTGATTTCGCTCATCGCTCTTCGATTCACGTCCCTCAAGTGTTTCACTGGATGAATTGTTACATCTTGAATCTCCGGCAGAGGGCGCGGCTCGGCCGAGATGAATGGGCAATTACGTTTGCATGAGGCTTAGTTACAATTAATGTTACAATAGATACGTCATCATGCGGTAGTGCAGGTTGGAATGCAGGATCGCATTCGTGAGTTGTATTCGAGGCTCTTGCGTCATTTTAGCAACCTACCAAAGATGCTCGAATGAACCCAGCGCGACAGAAACTCACTTCTCAGCAACTCACTGATGTTGTTCATTCACAAAAAATCATGTGGAACGCTTGCATTTGAGCATCATGGTGAGGATGTTTAAAATGCCATGCAACGAATCCAGCTTTTCAGCAAGTCGTAAGCAACATTGCTCAATCCGCACAAGACAAGATGTGGAAATGCAAACGAAATGCCGGAATGCCGGAAAATACTTCTTGACATGTCTAATGCTGCTGAAACCGTTCCAGTGAAACGAAGTATCACCATCGCCTCCGGGAGAGTATATAGGGCTTCAATGTAAGGTGAAAGCAGTTCCACAATGGACATAGTGAATGCTGATTTGCATACACA